GTTTTATCTAAGATTTGATTATGATATTCTATATATTTTATGAATTGATAACTTATTAATTAAAATATATTTTAACAGATATAATAATTTTATAATAAATATCAAACTAACATAATTAATTAACATTAAGATATAATATCTTATATTAACTTATTTTTAAGTTTATTATTATAAAATAAATCTTAAGTTTTAAGATGTATAAAATCGCAAAATTTATTTAAGAATAACAGATACTTGTAGAATTTAGAGAAATAATAAAAGTAATAATTTAAATTATAATTATTTATAATATAAAATTAATTTTTATTATATAATTAAAGTTACTTATCTAAACTTATTTTAGATTTAGTATAATTTCTAAATTTTTAATTTTGCTAATTTTTATTAAAGTTTTAATATAATTTTATTATTTTCATAAACTTTGATATAGTTTTACCTTTTTCTGAATTTTGTAGATCTTTAATAAGATTTAATATAATTTTATTAAATTTAATTTTACTATTTAGTTATTTTTTAAAATCTTTAGATTTTATCTACTAGTTATATATAATTAATAATTATAGTAATATTAATAAAATGCTATAGATATTAATAATTAGCAAATTATATTTTTGATTTAATAATTTTTTAATAATAATAATTAACTAATCTAAATTTTTCAGATTAAATAAATTATTTAATTTAAAAATATTATTATTTATTATTTTAAATTTTAAAAATATTTGAAGATATTAAATGTATTATGATAATAAATATGAAATTTTGTTAGTTTGTATTATTAAGAAAATGAAAAAGAAGAGAATTATTATTTATAATTTAATGTAATAGTTAAATTAAATCTAAAAATATTTTAAGACTTAAATCAAATTTACTTATATAGTAATTTTTATATTTAATGTTAATTATTTTTTAATATTTTTTACTTATTTTATTTTATTAAAAGGATAAATATAAAATAATAAAATGATTTAAATATATATAGTATTAATTATACTAATGAATAATAAATTAATTATACATATACTTTATTGAAAAATATTATATTATATATATTGATATTGTGTAAAAAGATTTCTAAGTGATATATCTATATAAAAAGTATTATTGATTTTAAATATATGCAAGTTGTATAATAATTATCAATTATTAAATAAATTGAAAAAATAAAAATAAAAAATATATAATTACTTTTATTCTTTATCTAAAATATTAATTTGCATTTGTATTATCATTAATTATAATGATCGTGAGAAAGAAGCTTGACACATTGTTAATTTCCTTTTTGGGGATTACGTACCCTTAAAAATAAAATCGATTTTTTTTTTTTTTTGATTTTTTACATATAATATTAGCAACCCTTAAATTTGTTTTTTGAGCGAGTATGACAACGTGAGCCTCGAAGTGTTGTGGTATTCGCCGCCTAATATGAAACTCGAATCCAGTGCGCTTTCGAAAAAGACTCGGAATGATTTTTGCTAACGTTGTTATAGATTTATGTTGCTTTTAAAATTTTTAAAAAATACTTTAGATACGCCAGTCTTTTTTTTTTTGGAGATTTAAACTTATGCTCGATGAAAAGGTATGTTTACATACACTGTTAGCAAGCCCCTGGGTTTGTCCTTTGAGCGAGCATGTTAATGTTTAACAACGTGAGCATACTGCCTCGAAGTGTTGCGGTATTCGCCTAACATAAAACTTGAATCCAGGGCGCTTTTAGGAAATGACTCGGCATGATCTTTGCTAACGTTATTATAGATTTATGTTCTTTTTATAGTTACTTTAGTACTGTTATCAAATCCTTATTATTGCATAAGCAAGTTCTATCGTATAAGGAAAAAAGTCTGCATTAAAACATGAAACTATAAAAATCATCAATTTAATTTAGTACCTACGCCAACATTAACTTTAACGGGAAAAATAATGCAGCGAAGGGATGGTTCCGTTAAGAATAAAGATGTAGGAACATAAAGTAGAAGTTTTATTCCAGGGAAGTATTTAAGAAGCTATTTGATATAATAGAATTTCTCTCATCTTTAATATAATCAAAAATTTTATTGTTTGTACAAAGTCAGGTGATCTTTCTTTTTTTTAAAAAAGTGTATAATAATTCTCTTCGACTTAGGATAGCAGTTGCTTTATTTGATTGCAAATAATTTTAAGTTGAAAGTGCTCATTTTTTTTTTTTTTTTTTTTTTTTTTTTTTTACGATTCTTCATTGATTTATTAAGGTTCAACCCAGGATTTATTGTTCTTTTGGCTTAAAATAAAAAGAAGCGAGAATACCTAGTAAATATAGAGCTCGGCGATAGGCTCTTAGTTTGTCTGTTCCCTAATTAGTGTTCTTATATATAATGTTTAACCTGGAAATCTGACCTAGAGTTCTGGTATAAGCGAACAGTGGCTAACGATACTAAGTGTGTAGTTAGAATTCTTCTGGCGATACTAGATTTTCTTTGATTCTTGATTCGTTTATTTATAATAGAATGTAAAAATCGAATTAATGGGGGGTTGAAGTTCCTTCTAATAAACGTTCTTATATTGTATGTAAATTATTATGAATAAAGGAAAAAATAATTATTTTTTAAATAAGATTTAGCAATTTACTTAAATAATGTCCATTTATAACAAGGTTATAGTGACCAAAAAATCAAAAAAAAAAAAAAATTAATTAAATAATAAACCACATAAAATAATTATAAGAAGCATAAAACTCTGTGAGAATCAGCAATCTTAAAATAATATAAAAATATTTGCAATACTCTTCTTTTTATGTCTAAGAAAATGAGCTTAATGGCTTTTATGTTATTTTACTACCGAGGTAATAAATGAGTCCATCATCAGCATAAAAGTCGATTTATATAGTCAATGTATTTGAAAATCTTCAATTGAATTGTTCAATTATTGAATCTTCTCGTTTCCACGTTCAATTTCCATTCACTTATGATCACTTTTGTTCACGAACTTATTTTCGCCTATATCATAATCATTTCTATTTTCACTTTCCTAATAAATCACTTTGAACAATTCTAATCGAAATAACGAAGATTCTTTATCTCATGGAATAATTGCAGCTAGAAAGATTCAAACATTCAAGCTACCAATTACTTTTGATTAAACACCTTTTTAATATATTGCGGTGTTCATATCATGTTCCATGATCCGTTTCATGAATCAGTAATAAATAATGTGCGTTGTTTATTTTCATATTCTCCATTTTAAGTGATAAGACTTTTTTTTCCAGTTCTTATGGTTCTCAAATATTAATCGTTTGTATTTATTTTTTATAAAATTTTTTTAATGTTACACGAATTTTTTTTTTTTACTAATAAAGATAAAAATTTTTTTTTCTTTTTTTATTACATGTACAATACAATTTATTCAGGAGCCAAGAAAAAAAAAAAATTTCAGACTAAATAAATGAACGAATTCTGATGGTTTACATAATAACAAGAATTAAACATTAGTTAAAGACGAAATTGGCAAATCTCAACTTTAATTCTGTGCCAAAGATCATTGAACAATTTCAGCTAAAAGTGTAGTTGATATTTATACTTTGAAAAATTTTTCCATTCGAATTTGTTTGCATGAGAGTCGCGACGGGAGTGAAATACCGTTACTTTCTTTAAACTAAAACGTTTTAATACGAGTTGCTTAAGCAACTTATGACAATACGTTAAAGTATAATTAATAACTCTGGACCTTATGCTAAAATAATATCTTAATTATTTCACATAACTGTTTGCATATCAGTGAATTTTGAAGCACATCTTGCATAGAGTGTAAAAGTCGGACAAATGATGAAATATAATCAACATCTTTACAATCAATTTTACAAATCTGTTGTGGAAGAAACCATGAACAAGTGGAATCCTCAAACAGTCCGAGTCAAATGCTCTGATGCTCTGGGTTGCTTATTGTATATTATCTAGAACAACAAGAACAACAACTAATGTTTTAAAAGTCACCATCGTAAAATTTCATGTAAACATTTCCGACTCGTGGTACTCCTAACAAGACGAAAAATTTTCATGAATAGATAGAAATCAATTCGAAATTTTGTCCATAAAATTGGAAGTCCAATTCTAAATTCTAATCGACCGGAATATATGAACTAAAACAACGGAAAATCCTTTAAATTCGTTATAAGTAGATAATATTTTTATAAGCGCGCCACAAATTTTCATTACATTCCGAAAGCCCTTGTCTGCTAGTAGGAAAGAATAAATAGCAAAAATTATACATTGAAAAGGAATTTTGAGAAATTAGTTTAATTTATCCAATTTAAAAAAAATGATAAAATTATCGATCGGGATGACGCATAATAATAATCAGGCGATGATTGAGAATTCTGAGATTGATTGTTAAACCCTTTATCAATCTGTTTGCTATCTGTTCGACATTTCTACGATTGATCGATATTATTTCCAAAATAACTTTTTCGCCCCGACTATACCAAAATAAGATATTTACTGCGCCTTTGTAAAATCTGTTGTTTGTTGTCTTAACGTGGTTTGGGAAAGCATTTAACCTATTGAACATGTCTAAATCTGGTAATAGAATGTCTCACCATTATACAGTATATATCCTGATGTTTCAAAAAAAAAATTAAAAGTTAATAAAACCATTCGTCTTTTGCTTTAATACTTGTCATCTTTACCGGCTGAATAAGTAAAATGCACGTAGATCCTTGTTTCTAGTACAAAGACGGAAATACGTTTTAACTCTTTTTGCTGAACAAATAATAATTTGCATTGCATATAAAGGTCAAGAAAAGTGTGGCAAACCGTTCTCTTAAAATTTCATTCTTCCAAAAGGTTGAAAATAAAAAAAAATTTCGTCGACTCTTTGAAAGTCAAATTTTTTTTTTTTTAAAAAAAAAAACCACGGTCATTATCCTCTATATTTATAGATTTGAAATCCTTTCAAACCTCCATACCTCCATCACCCTTTTGATTTCACAAAACTCATAAAAAAATCATCTATTCGAAATTTTCAAAAAAATGATTCAAACTCATTGGAATTTCGCTTTTCCTACAAATCTTGAATTAAACGGACTCGAATCTACACTTGAAAGGTTTGCGAATTATCCAGCTTCTACAATAAAAGACGAAATAATTTCAAGATTAGTAGGAGAAGTAGGGATCCAAGGACGTTTATTTCGTACATTATCAAAAGCAAGTTTAACGCGATATCAAGGAACAATTTCAACGTCAACTACAAACATAATTCAAACGATTGAAAAATTCAAAAATTCGGATTTAAAAGTGAACTCTTTAAATACAAAATCAGATTTAACGCTCGCTGAATTGTTAAAAGAATGTGACTTAATTAGGAGTGGTTATGGTGATATTTCAATTTCTTTACAAAGGATTTCAACAAATATTCAATCTCACAAGTCTACGATACAAAGTGAAAAGGATTCACTTGTACAATCGATTGAAAATTTAAGATATCATGCAAGAAATGAAAAGTTGGACGCTATAAAATCCGGTATAATTGCAGGTTTCGGTGTTGGAAGTTTATCAAATGCCACGACTTTTATGTTTGTACCTCAATTTGATTGTGGTTTAACTTTGTTCGCCACGATTTTCACAGGAGGATTGATGGGTTGGTATTTTGGTAATAAGATGAGTTTTAAACTTAAACAAGAAGCGGTATTTAAAGAACAACAACTTGAACATATAAAGAAAACTACTCGGTATATTGACGGTGTCATAGATGATATTAAGGTGTTCAATGATGGGGTGGGCTTATTTGAAACGTTTTGGAGAAGGCAGTTTGATCACGTGATGGCCACGCAAGGATTTATTGCGAAAGCGAGAAAAGGAGATGTGCAATTAAATAATCTTACCATACAATCAATGCTGATTTCTTGGACACATGCGAAGAATGCTTTAGATAATTATGAAAAGTCCACTCAGTTTATTAGTTAATTAATAAAGAATGTTGATCATTTTTATTAATTCCATTAAAAGTTTACATGTAAATTTTTAAAGTGTAATTTTTAAATTTTTTTTTTAGTTAAATTTTGTGAAAAGGTTATGATCAATTTCGATAATGAAGTCGTTCCACGAGTAAATGCGTAATATTTTAAATTATGATCAATAAAATTAGCAGAAACAACCTTGAGAATTCTAAAAAACCGTATATAAATTCTTTTTTATTTTTTTTGAAAAAAAAAATAAATAAATCAATTTCTTTCCATTTCAGGTTTCATGTTTAAAATATTCGTAGAATAATAACGATTTTTTTTTTTTGTAATTCTTTTTAAAACATAACATAATTTAAAGCATATTTAATAACAATCAAGAGTTTTCAAAAAATTGATTTAATGCAAAAAAAATAAAATTTATTGGTTACACAAAATTAACAATAATTGAACCAATAGATTTGCTTTTTTTTTTTTATTTTATTTTATTTTTTTAATATAAGAGCAATTACTTTTCGAAGTCAAAAATATGGCATAATTAATTTACCAAAGACAATTATACTGCCCTACTACAACCATAATGGGTAATGGGATGGATTGTCAACTAAATCGAAAAGTTTAAAAAAAAAATGATACATTTTTTTTTTTCTAGCAATCGAATGAATTTTATACATCTTTAACTTCTCATTTACTTGAGCAATACACGCTTCAATTCTCTTAATTAAATTTAAATATACATCATTTTGGAATCCCATTCCCTCTTCTTGTAAAGCAACTTCGAATTCTTTTGAATTCGACGTTCTTATTCAAATAAGGTGATTGGCCAATTAGACCTTGTTTAACTTAATAAACAACCTAAAAATCAAGTAAAAATTATACAAACTAATAAGGTGCATTTAAATAATATTCACTGTAACGAGACACAATCGTGGATAACGCGGATAATATTTATTTTAATAATCACTCTCGTTATCGGTATAAAGAAAGATAGAACGATAATGCAGGACGAAATCATAAATCAATGATTGGATTTTTTATAACAAACCAAAATGAGGATATTAAAACTAGTTAGAGAACTAATATAAATACTGTTGATATAGAAAACAATCTTGAAAATGGCAGTAATTTCTTCTTTTGTCATATTTATTTATTTATTTTAAGGAAAAATTGACCGCGAATTCCTTAAGATTGAAATATCAATTTTTGCAATACAAATAAAAAAAATTGAATAACTCCGAAAACGAAATAGATTATATATTTCGAAGTTCGAAAATCAATGTCGATTTGTACATTTGACAAACACTTTTACCGAAAATCGGCTGGTGTCATATTTTTTGAACGTTCACTTCACTTGACTTAGAAACACATTATTATTTTTAGTAATCATATGATCTGTAACGTGATTTTAATAGCAATTATTATTTAGACAGTCTGTTTACATTTTTACAAGTGGTAATAAGAATAAAGTATTTTATGTTGATAGAAAATTTAATTAATATTGCGTCTTATATGTAAAGTAATTAATTAGATAAATAATGAAAAATAGATAAAATATGAAAAGAAGATAAAATATATTAAACAAGTGTCACAATTTTGAAAATTGTTTCAAGTGTGGACACTTGTACCAAGATTATTGAGCGTAGGCGATAATTGAGAAATAATAAAAAACGTTCTTTAAATAAGTATTCTTCATTATCATTTTTAAAATTTCTTCTTTTATCACCATATTGTGGGTTAATATTTAGTGAATTATCAACAACTTGTGATAAACGCTATATAATTATATAATGAGGACATTGAAGCAGTGGTTGAAGCCATGATTTCATCCTTACATAAAATTGCTTTTTTTTTATAGGAAGACAAATGATTAAAGTATTAAAATTTTTGCTTTTTTCTCCATAAATTCAAACAGAAGCTTCACACCAAGAACGTAAAAACTCACCTTCGGAATCTTTAAAAATTTCATTTAAACAATAAGAAAAGAGCTCAATAATCATTTTATTTTTTATTTTCTATTTTCCTTTTTTCAAAAAAAAATTGAAAAAAAAATTGTGAAAAAAAAAAAAAAAAAAAGCCGATTCATATAGCCAAGCCAAGACCTGCCGATCATTTGCTGAACAATTGAAATATTTTATTATTGTTCGTCAACCTGGACCCAGAACCTGTGACCACAGGCCGAGTTTCCAAACCAGGGCGTCCCGTCTCAAAATAAAATGTAAGCAGTTACACACAATTTGATTTATTGATAAACGTTACATATATTCTTAATGAAATCAAACATCATAAACAATATGTTGATTGAGGTTCATGACAGATTGCTTCAAATGGCTCATGTGATCAAGGTTCAGAAATGATAACCGAACATTCATTTATCTTTACATCTTGCCGATGTTACTGGGACTATAGACCATTGTATTCCTTTTGGTATATTCATTTGAAAAGAATAAAAGGGTTATTTAGGTTTGTTCCTCTAATCGTTATTAACACACCAAATTATATATTTAATTATAAATTCAATATATTGTTATTTATGTATAGGTTCTTTTCCAAATAGTCAATAAAATATCAAACCAGAACTTTTACATATTATTATGCAGAACTAATAATTAAATGATTTCGTTGCAAAGTTTGTTTAAGCTTTTGAATTTGTGAAAAGCTGCCTAATAACCAGAATTCTAAGCATATAATGGATTTGATTCTGCTAAACTCATCATTTTATTGATGAAAATCATTACAGGAAGCGAAACCTTATCTGAAAAAATGATTACTCTAAAGAAAGTATTATCAGATATGTTGCGCCTTAAATGACGATCGGTGTCAACTGACAGCTGACGCATCTCAGATATCAATCGATATATACTCCCTACCAAAAAGTATTAGACCACATAAAAATTTTTATAAAATATCAAAATTTTTTTATCTACAGTTTTTATTAAACTCAAATAAATAAATATAATATCTTTACTTGATAATGATTGCTTTTCGATATTTTATGTATATATTTTAATTAAATATAATTTAGTTAATAAATGGTATATTTTAAGTATCATTTAATATTAAATTTAATTAAAATTCAAAATTATTTTTCAAAAAAAAATTATATAAACATAAAACTTAAAAATTTATTTATTTAAAATTTAAATTGTGTACAGCATTTCAAAAAAAATACTTTTCGAAAATATAATCTAATTCACAAATTAGAATATAAGAGAAAATTTTTATTATAAACTTAAAAAATTAATTTAAAAATTTATTTTTTTTATATTTTTTTTTAAGCTTTACCAATATAAAATATTATTTAAATTGAAAGTTACGTGACTTTATAACTGCCTTTACTTGATCTTTCATACTGTCAATTAACTTTTAATAAACATTAATAGAAATTTGTGCTTATGAATCTTGTAAAAATACTTATAATTCAACTATATTTTTAGGATTTTCTTTCTTGATCAGATATTATGTTTAAGCTCATCCCAATTATGCTTAATAAGATCAAGATCTGAACTTTTTTCTGACTATAGTAAAAGAATTATCACATTTTTTTCATTTCTTTCGATGAAATCTTGTGTTTTCCTACTTGTATGAATATTTGCATTATTTTGCTGAAAGAAATACTTCTTATATTTTTTTTCAAATTTTTCTAAAAGTAATATTAAATAATAGCTAAGAATTTTTTTATGTATCTTTAACTATTAATTCACCTATCAATTCTTACTAAAGAACCTATTTTATGTTATGAAAAATATTCTCACATCATTATATCACCTCCACTATACTTTACTGTAGAAATTAAGTAATTAATATTATACTTTTCTTTGAAAAACGTAAAATATGAATTTTTCCATCATTTTGAAATAATGTAAACCATTTCAAATAACATTTTTTCAGTTATTAATTGTTTATAATCATCTTTCTCAAGACTACTTTAATCAGAAATGTCTTTTTGACTCATTGATATAAGGATTTTAAGAGAAATTTAACTATAATATCCTATTTGATAAGTGCATGCATGTCATATAATATTCTTACTTACTTCATTTTCAGTTGAATTTATAAAAGTTTCTTGTATTTTTTGTATTAATTTTTACCTTTCTTTATTAATAATTAGCTTTAAATGCTATTTATTATATTCTATTAGTTTTTTAAATTATTTACTTCTAGAAATATTGATAAAAAAATCTATTTCATTGAACTTTATAATTATATAATAGATAGCTGTCTTTGAGAGACTCATTTTTTTAAATATAGTTCTCTCAAATTCATCTGCTTTATGTAAACTGATAATTATTTCATGTTTAATAATTATAAACTCTTTCTTTTTAGACATATTAAAGAATATTTAAAAAAATTTGCGTAAAAAGAAAAAAAAAAATAATAACGATTATTTTATTAAATTTTAATAAATATTTTTTAAGTTATGCAAATCTCATGAAATTACTACAAATTTGCAATTCACAGAGATGGTCTAATACTTTTGAGTAAAAAGTATATAATAAGCATGATGGAGTTGTAAAAATTTACTGTGATTGGTGAAATTTGTTACTGATTGTCACTAAAATTATAAAAGCACATGACTTCTTTTTTAAATATAATGTGAAATTTTTAAAAAATACTGCGTTTACTAAATTGTAAACTTATTAAAATAAATAATTGTAATAAAAATGTTATCAAATTTTGTACTTTTCTAAACTTGTATATGAAAAAGCTAAAACAAAAGGAATATTTAATATATATAACTATTTAAAAGTTAGAAAACAACTTTGTCAATTATATTATAATAATATAAGCTCTTTGTAATAGAAAAGAAGAAAACTACCAAAAAAATTTTTTTGAGTTAATGTTAAATTTGAATTTATTTTATTAAAAAATAATATTTAGCTTATAAAGCAAAAAAAAATTTTTTTAGTAGTTTTCTCCCTTTCTATTGCAAAGAGCCCATATTATTAAATTAGACTGAAATAAATATTCAAATTTACTTTTAAATAATTTGACAATTTTAATAAC